AAAAAAACAAGAAGCGCACCAACCTTGCGCATTACCTCAGTAACCAAAAATTTATTAGTAAAGGAATGGTACTCACAAACAGCGAATAAAAACAGGCATGTAAGTCCTCCAAGGGACTTTAGAGACAAGAGGCCAGCGCGAGCTCTGAGGAAGAAGGTACGACCTTCGAAACGCGTCAGCTGTACTGAGTGTCTACCCCCATGATGGGATTCGCGCTGGCCTCTTGTCTCTGAAGTCCCTTGGAGGACTTACATGCCTGTTTTTATTCGCTGTTTGTGAGTACCATTCCTTTACTAATAAATTTTGGTTACTGAGGTAATGCGCAAGGTTGGTGCGCTTCTTGTTTTTTTTTCACTTTGCCCTAAGGCTGGTCCCAGTGTAACGCTGCTTAGGCAGATGCCTTAGGGCACCAGGGTGGGGGGGGGGCAGGAAAATCCTAATCCCCAGCCACTTGCTGGGAATTCAGATTTTTAAAATACCCGTTCATGGGATGGAAGGGGAGGGGGGAGAGGTCATTGCTGGGGGGGGGGGGGGGTTAGGGAACCAAAGGTAAAGCTATGGGGGAAACGGGGGCAGAGAACATTGCTGGGGGGCAGGGGCAGAGGTCACTGCTATAGGGGAAAGGGAGGGTAGTCCATTCAGTCACAGAACACCTTGAATAAATGACGTGGCCAGGTGCGCCGCGTTTTTTTTTAAATTGTGAGATCTATCATGGAAGAGCAGATCCCTTGCTAGCTGTCACAACGGGGAACGAGAGGAGCGGGGGCCGGTCCATTTGTAACATTTTACATGTTACACCCTGAATATGGGTGTAACATACTATGGTGAACTTAGCCTTTAAGAAAAGTCTGAGAGAAGTGAGAATTCCTCTTCAACATCCTACCTGGTGTTCCCAATGTTGAAGGGGCTCCACAAATTGTACCCAGCTTGAATGGCCATGAAGTAATGGTCCCTCTAACCCCAGGCCTAGTGTTGGTGTGCACAGAGTTCAAGGTGTGTTTGTTATGGATTCACATTGACTGGTGTGGAGGAATATTTTTTGTAGTCCTCTTTTAAGGGGTTATGGGAAATGGCATTCCCTTCAGGTAATTAGGAGAACCAGAACCTTCGCTAAGTGGAAGAGTGGGTTTGATAATAAAGTTGGCAGTGCCTCCACCCAGGGCAGGGCCTCTGTGAACAGAGATGATCCACTTCCAGTGAAATTAACCAGTAATCTAATCAAAGTAATTGGGAGCAGGGAAACTACTAAGCCCAGCATATAACATTTGACAAGCCAGGGTTCACACAGGAGCAGGGGGGAAAATGCATGCGATTTGAGAGGAATAGCATTCCTGTTCAAAATGCATGCTATTCTTTACGGTGCAATTTGCGTCCATATATTTTGTTCTGACACAAATCACACTGCAAAGTATCAGTTTGGGTATCGGTACTCCTAAAAACTATTTAACATACTCGGTATCTGCAGGAGTAACCACAAAATCCAAGGAAAGAATGTAGTTCTGTAAATACTGAGGTTGAGGCCAGTCCATCAGTAGACTTACAGAACTTGCACTTGCACTGTTGAGAACTTCAGTCCCTCTTCTTTTAGGCGATGTAGTACTCACATTAGTTGTTCTTCATGTTCTTCAAATGTAGCCCCAAACACCATAATATTGTCGAAGTACACAATGCATTCCCTGGGTATTGGGTCACGCCAACATTTTTCCAATAACCGTTAGAATGTTGCAGGCACCCCCCTTATGCCTTGTGACATGCAAATAAAGTGACCGAAGCCCAAAGGACATATAAAGGCGGTCTTCTCCTGATCGTCAATTGCCATTGGAACGTGGTGATATCTGGACCTCAGAGCTAACATAGTGAATTCATGATTTCCATTTAGAACCTCCAGGGCTTTTCAGTTCTAGGCAATATACAGGTGAAACTTGAAAAATTAGATTATCATGCAAAACTTCATTTATTTCAGTAATGCAACTTAAAAGGAGAAACTAATATATGAGATAGACTCATTACATGCAAAGCAAGATAGTTCAAGCCGTGATTTGTCATAATTGTGATGATTATGGCTTACAGCTCATGAAAACCCCAAATCCACAATCTCAGAAAATTAGAATATTGTGAAAAGGTGCAAGATTCTAGGCTCAAAGTGTCCCACTCTAATCAGCTAATTAAGCCATAACACCTGCAAAGGGTTCCTGAGCCTTTAAATGGTCTCTCAGTCTGCTTCAGTAGGAATCACAATCATGGGAAAGTCTGCTGACCTGACAGTTGTGCAGAAAACCATCATTGACACCCTCCATAAGGAGGGAAAGCCTCAAAAGGTAATTGCAAAAGAAGTTGGATGTTCCCAAAGTGCTGTATCAAAGCACATTAATAGAAAGTTATGTGGAAGGGAAAAGTGTGGAAGAAAAAAGTGCAGAAACAGCAGGGATGACCGCAGCCTGGGAAGATTGTCAGGAAAAGGCCATTCAAAAGTGTTGGGGACTTTCACAAGGAGTGGACTGAGGCTTCAGTCAGTGCATCAAGAGCCACCACACACAGACAGATCCTGGACATGGGCTTCAAATGTCATATTCCTCTTGACAAGCCGTTCCTGAACAACAAACAACGTCTGAAGCGTCTTACCTGGGCTAAAGAAAAACAGACCTGGTCTGTTGCTCAGTGGTCCAAAGTCCTCATTTCTGATGAGAGCAACTTTTGCATCTCATTTGGAAACCAAGGACCCAGAGTCTGGAGGAAGAATGGAGAGGCACACACTGCAAGATGCTTGAAGTCCAGTGTGAAGTTTCCACAGTCTGTGTTGATTTGGGGAGCCATGTCATCTGCTGGTGTTGGTCCACTGTGCTTCATTAAGTCCAGGGTCAACGCAGCCGTCTACCAAGAGATTTTGGAGCACTTCATGCTTCCTTCCGCAGACGAGCTTTATGGGGATGCTGACTTCATTTTCCAGCAGGACTTGGCACCTGCCTACACTATCAAAAGCACCAAAACCTGGTTCAATGACCGTGGGATTACTGTGCTTGACTGGCCAGCAAACTCACCTGACCTGAACCCCATAGAGAATCTATGGGGCATTGCGAAGAGAAAGATGAGAGACATGAGACCGAACAATGCAGAAGAGCTGAAGGTCGCTATTGAAGCATCCTGGTCTTCCATAACACCTCAGCAGCGCCACAGGCTGATAGCTTCCATGCCACGCCGCATTGAGGCAGTAATTGCTGCAAAAGGGGCCCAAACCAAGTACTGAGTACATATGCATGCTTATACTTTTCAGAGGTCCGATATTGTTCTATGTACAATCCTTGTTTTATTGATTGCATGTAATATTCTAATTTTATGAGATTGTGGATTTGGGGTTTTCATGAGCTGTAAGCCATAATCATCACAATTATGACAAATCACGGCTTGAACTATCTTGCTTTGCATGTAATGAGTCTATCTCATATATTAGTTTCACCTTTTAAGATGCATTACTGAAATAAATGAACTTTTGCACGATATTCTAATTTTTAGAGTTTCACCTGTATGCTGACCGGGTATTGCCCTCTAGTTCAGGCTTCAGTAATCTACACACAGGAGGATGGATCCACACTTTTTCCTTACCATCACAATGGGTGAGGCATAGGAACTTTTACCATCCACGGTAATCCCTGGTCTTTCATCTCGTGTAGGGTCTGTCTGAGCTCATAAAAATCCTCTGGTGCCATCCTGTGGAATCTCTTGAAAAGGAGTAGCATCAGTTACCTTAAAAGTGTGATGAGCACTCTTAGCACAGCCTACATCCATAGCATCTGTAAAGAACAACTTTTGGCAAATCTGACAATTGCGGTGTCAGTTCCTTGCTCCAGGACTCTGGTAAGTTTGGGTCACTGGCATGAAGAACCACAGCGTGCGGTAGAAGCAGGTGATGGACACACATGGAAGTGTGTAATATCTGCAGAGGCCTGGGAGCAGCAAAGTGGTTTTAGGCTACGTTCACACTTGGTTGATTTGGTGAGGAAACATTCTGTAGCAGCACGCATGATCTGTACTGTAGAAATTTTCCTCTGCTTACTTCTCCCCATCAACAGCTTATGGGCTGTCAGGATCTCTCATTAACTGGAGAACTCTGTTAGGCCCACCCTTTCCTACCAGATTCACCATTCATAGAAGTTGTACTACAGCTTCTAGGAATGACATAGGATCCCTGACCGAGGGATGGGTGGATGAATGGGTGCTCTTCCCCCTCCATTCATAGACCCTGTGTTATTCATATAAACTGTAGTACAGCTTCTATGATTGGTGAAGGTGGTGGCAGGAAAGGGCAGGCATAGTCAAACTCTCTTGATGAGAGCTCTTGAACGCCCTTTAGATGTATTAACCCCTGCTGCACTGGAATTTGGCATGGTGGGGGCATGGGTAGTATAAAGGAAACTTCCTGTTGAAAAGAGGAGAAGAATCAACACAAGAGACACATCACACTAACTGTAAGTTATGTCCCTTGCGCTGATTTTTATGTTTATAATTTTAGCTAAACTTAGATTGTAAGCAATGTATTTATCTTGCAACCAATAAAGAGCAAAGACACTAAGGGCCGGTTCACACTATAGAAACACAGTCCAGATGTGTTTCTGCATGCACGTTTTTGACGCGTTCCAGTGCGTTTTTGACGCATTCCAGTTTTTTATGCATTCCAGTTCATTTTTTTCCCCGTTTCTTCATTTTAAATAGACACATGTGCGGTCCCAGTGCATTTTTGGTGCATTCCGGTGCGGTTTTTGATGCATTTTAACATGTTCCAGTACAGTTCTGTGCAGAAAAAGTGCAGCATGTTCTACTTTTTTTTCTGCAACCGGAATGCACTGGACCTGCAAGCACTGATTAGCACTATGACATTGACGACCATATAACCTACTTTCTGTGTGTTTTGGATGCAGAAAAAACGCAACTGAAACGCATGTAGTGTGAACTGGCCCTTAAACAAATAATGTAAAAAGCATTTTAGTAGACTTGCAGTAATTTATTTAGTAAGCATACACTTTCACTTTATGCACTTCTTTATCTTCACACTCCCTTTGCTTGTTATAATAGTAAAACGTATTGTCCTTTCTTTGCAGTTTTTTCACAAATCCAGTGTCTGGCCATCGCTCCGCCTGGAATAAGAAAATATATATTTTTTTAAAATAATCACTGTGCCATGTAGTAAGGAAGTACTGTATTTTTTGCTCCATAAGACGCACTCCCCCCCCCCCCCCCCAAAAAAAATGGGGGAAAATGTCTGTGCGTCTTATGGAACGAATATGGAGCGGCCGGCCCAGTATTCTTGCTGCCGCCGCTGTGTTAGGTTACTGGGCCGGCCGCGCAGCCCTACCTGTTCGTCAGTCCAGCGGTGTCCTGCTTCCATCGGCTGTCTTCTCTCCCTGGTGCCGGCATCTTCAGTGTGGGCACCCGGCTGTGACAGCTTGCGGCTTCACAGCTGGGTGCCCACTGCACATGCACGTAGAAGTGCTGCACTTTGTGAATGGCCCCGTAGCCTTGTGGGACCTGTCACATGTCCCTGAAGACTACGGAGAGAGAGGGGGGAGGACAACTCCACGGAAGTGGGAGTGGGTACTTGTCAAATTCGGGTACCCACCCCCTCTCCCCAAAGGACTGCACTCTCTGGTCATCTCCTGTACTATGTCCGCAGTCTCTGGTCATCTCCTGTACTATGTCTGCACTCTCTGGTCATCTCCTGTACTGTGTCCGCAGTCTCTGGTCATCTCCTGTACTATGTCTGCTGTCTCTGGTCATCTCCTGTACTATGTCTGCTGTCTCTGGTCATCTCCTGTACTATGTCTGCTGTCTCTGGTCATCTCCTGTACTGTGTCCGCAGTCTCTGGTCATCTCCTGTACTATGTCTGCAGTCTCTGGTCATCTCCTGTACTGTGTTTGTGTCTGCAGTCTCTGGTCATCTCCTGTACTGTGTCCGCAGTCTCTGGTCATTCCCTGTACTGTGTCTGCAGTCTCTGGTCATCTGTAGTATGTCCGCAGTCTCTGGTCATCTCCTGTTCTGTGTCCGCAGTCTCTGGTCATCTCCTGTACTGTGTCTGCAGTCTCTGGTCATCTCCTGTACTGTGTCTGCAGTCTCTGGTCATTCCCTGTACTGTGTCCGCAGTCTCTGGTCATTCCCTGTACTGTGTCCGCAGTCTCTGGTCATCTGTAGTATGTCTGCAGTCTCTGGTCATCTCCTGTACTATGTCTGCAGTCTCTGGTCATTTCCTGTACTATGTCTGCAGTCCATTGGTTCAGAATTTTTTTTTCTTGTTTTCCTCCTCTAAAATCTAGGTGCGTCTTATGGTCAGGTGCGTCTTATGGAGTTAAAAATATGGTACTATTTCTAATATAATTGTGTTTTATTAATGAAAGAACTTTATAAATACAAATTGGGTTTTAAAATTCTTCTAGAACACCTTTACTTGAGTAAGTCTTCTACATCTAACAGTAGGTGAGGACATATGGGGGTTTATTTACTACAGCTGGAGAGTGCAAAATCAGACTCACTTCTGCATAGAAACCAATCAGCTTCCAGGTTTCATTGCCAAAGCTTCATTGAACAAGCTGAGGTTAGAAGCTGATTGGTTTCTATGCAGAAGGGAGTCTGATTTTGGACTCTCCAGCTTTAGTAAATAAACCCCATGGTATCTTTTGAGCAAAGTATTCACAGTATCATGATAATGGGAAAAATAATTTTTTTTTTACATTGCTTATAATGTATAGTGTGGTGAAAATGATTCAGTATTCTACTGCCTTTCTAAAATTAGCATGCACAGGATTTTACAATAACCTGTATTGCTTTCCCAGAGCCCCGGCAGGAAATTAAAGTTTTAGGCATCAGATTTGGTCCTGGTGATTACAGCCTTGCAAATTGGGTAAGCAGGCTACAAGATGCCGATGCCAAGGTTGCTAGTTGGCAGGATTAGAAACTCTCTTACAGGGAAAGGATTGACCTGATTAAAACCTACCTTACTTATTTCTGTATGTCAGCTTTGTTTGTGTTTTGCCAGTGTCTCTCTATGAGAAGATCTACAGTTGTTTCTTCCAGCTGTTATGGAGGAACAGACTGAACCTCATTAAGAGGTCTGTAACCTACATTCCCAGGCGGATGGGTGGCCTAGGTATGGTCAACCTGGTGGTTTTCTTTTCTCTGATGTTTTTGAAACATAATTTTGGTAGCATGCTGGCAGGGGAACTGTCTAGGTGAGTTTGTATTTTTCAGACCTGGTTTAGGCCTTTTCTGTGGAGCTGGGAGAATGGTGGGCCAGTGAAAAGCCTGAAAGTCCAACATAGTGAGCTCCCGACTTATGCTGCCCCGTGCCTGAAAATGCTTCGGCAATGGCGAGTGATGGCAGATGAAATTGAGTCTCTTCCTAGGAAGGCCCTGGAGAGGAGGGTTGTTGAATCTGCCTTTAGTGAGCTATTGACCTTGAGTGACTGCCTAAGCCCTGTTATGAGGGAGAGTCTGCATTTGATAAATCTGGAGAGAATCCCTTTTAAGTTTCAGGATTTGGCCTGGCTCTCGTTCCATGGCAGACTCTATATGAAGGGCAACCTGAAGCATTGCTCTTCGGAGAACCGTGGTTTTCCAAGAGTGGAGTGTGGTGGGGTGGAGGAGACAATGGACCATTTTTTGCTTCAGTGTCCCTTCAATATAGCAGTCTACAAGCGGGAGGCTGGGGCTCTGGGTATCCCTTTCCTTTCCCGCTTGAGTTATGCGAAATGGGCTTACGGAGCCTTTTAAACTCACTGGGACTTTGATTTTGAGAAACTTTTTCTAGTTAGCTTAGAAGTGCATTACTACACGTGGAATGCACAATGTCAGGTTTGCATTCGCAAAAAAGTCCATCCTGTCGAGGTGGTGCACAACATTCTGGGTGAGGTTGGGAAGATTCGGGGTTTTGAGAAGGACAGGTGGTGGCCGGGAGCCTGGACAAAGGCATGCAGGAATGTCAGGTCTCCGTAGCTGCTGTCTGTCAGTCTCTGGGGGCGTGGCTTCTCCTTCTGTCCTTTCACCTCCCCTAGATTTTTGTAAGAGATGCGAAGAGGAGATAAAGGAATCATCCTGTCTGCAGATCAGATTTTTGAAAAAAGGCTGCATGCATGGGATAAATGTTTAATCGTTTCTTAGCCTGAGGGTGTGTTTAGGTGGAAGTCGGGTTTGTTAAGATACATTATCAATAGGTTCTGTTTATGTTTTACCCGGCAAAAGAGACGATTCCTGTTTTCTATGCTGAAGTATGCTATTTTTGTTTATATAATATATATATATATATATATATATATATATTATAGTGTATATATGTAAATATGTTTTTTTATTATTTTGTTTGTAAGATTTTTACTAAACAAAAACAAAGAAAAATTTACAATAACAAGTATGTAGGTTATACAATAAATACATTGCAGTGATCTATACACTATTGTCGTCTTCTAGTGCCCTCATTTTTATGTGTTTACACCCTCTACAGGTGTCTATACACATTACAATCCTAGAAAATATTTAATTTGATTGCAGGAAGCAACTAAGAAGTTAAGATGGAACTGTAAAAATTCATCTATTATGAGAGAACCCTTTGTAAAAGGAGTTGGAAAATGTTTTTTGGCTTACCTATAATATAGGAAAAGTAGGGGCTGCTGTGAATTTACATGTTCTTTCTTAAAACAGTGCAGAGGCAACCAGGCATATAGCAACAGTCCATTCACTCTGATAATTATAGTGTTCTAACATGGCAAGACCACTTACTGTTATCTCACATATATATTCTTAATATTATAGCCAATTTTACCACCCTAACTCCTCCCACAGTTTTTACATTACATAGACAGTAATATACCGAAATGTGCGGATTGTTCCCGATTGGTGTGCTATTACTTTGTGGCAACGTTTCGCCATATGGTTCACGAAATATTGGCGTTGTTGTGATGAAATTGGTCCCATAGGAATGAATGGCCGGAATGTTCAAAACTAGAGTGGGAGCTGACAAAAGCTACAGTGTGAGCAGAAAAAATTAGGACATGATTTCTAAACTGCCACCACTCCCCTCATTTTCAAGCCCACCCACACAAATCTTATATCAAAACGTTCAGCTATCCCTGCTACCCGACTAAAAATGTCCACGGCTAAGCCATAGTCCTGACAGTTTTCACAATATGACCATTTGTTTGCAACTCACGCCGCCCATTGACATTCATTGAAACTCCACTCTAGCCACCTCAAATTTGAAGGGCAATTTCTAAACTGCGACTGTGCCTTCATTTTTATTATTTCAGAGACATACTATGCATCAAAATGTAGGTCTGGGTCTTGTGATTCTCACAATATAAAGCTCTTTGGTGTAGGATTTATAATTTTAAACTACAACCATTTGAAGATGGAAACCGCCAGTGAAGTGAGCAAGTTGGAAATAGTTTGTTTTTAACCGCTCTACTCTGCTCTTGCTGTAGAGTGAGTTGCCATAGGAACCCAGGTGTGTGAGCAGGCAGCAAAAGAGTGACAAGCCACTCCACCCAGTTACTCCGCCCACCTATAGTTGTAGGGGACTACAGGTGAATTTACAGGCAAGAACACTTCACACAATTTCCCCAGAAATTGTAGCTTTCCTAGTTATATAAGTGATAACTGATGTAGCACTGTTGAAATTTCAATACATTGTTACTGTGGATCACTCAAATAAGCAAAATGATGAACAATAAATGAACATCCATACAAGTAATAAAAACATGCAATGTGTAATTAAATATTGTACCTTGTGCAAATAAATCAGTTCATAATATCTAACACCACAATTTCCACATGTGCTCCTTAGTGACTTCTGTGCTCACAGAACTATCATCTTAAAAATACTTTCTCAATGCATATCTATATCTTTCCATCCCAATTCCAGCAACTGTATCTATCCTATCCTCCTCCAACCACTAGGAACTCTCCTTTTCTTTCTTTTCTTAATACATTGCAGTGATCTATACACTATAGTTGTCATCTTCTAGTGCCCTCATTTTCATGTGTTTACACCCTCTACAGGTGCCTATACACATTACAATCCTAGAAAATATTTGATTGCAGAAAGCAACTAAGAAGTTAAGATGGAAGTGTAAGCCCTTTATCCATACTAAGCCCTTCAGGTCTAGTATGGATTTTTAGAGGAACTTCCAAGCCAAAGTAATAAAAAAAAAAAAGCATGGGGTTCCCCCAAAATCCATACCAGACCCTTATCTAAGCATGCAGCCCTGCAAGTCAGGAAAGGGGAGGGGGCTCTTACTCGTCCTTCTGAAATATATCAGGCCTCATGCCCTCAACATGGTGGGGTGCTTTGGGGCAGGGGGAGCCCCCCCAGTACCTTTGTTCCCATGTTGATAGGGCCTTTTCCCCACAACACTGGCCAGTGGTTGTGAGGGTCTGCAGGTGGAGAGGGCCCCAGATTACCCCCCTCCCCATAGTACATCGACTCATTCACTAACAAAAAGTGTAGTGTAAAACACAGCAGGCAGTTTTTGCAAGTCCTTTAATAAAAAAAAAAAAACAAATCAAAACAAAAAAAATGCCCCCCCCCCCCCAGTGAAGATCCATCATCAATCATGATACCTGCCACTGCCGCCACCGCCGACCCGAAAAAAAAACAAACTCTGCTACTGACGAAGGCTCCCGCCATCTGACAGCTCCGCTGCCTGACAAGTCTTAAAGAGGTGGGGGCAATCTGGTGACATCACAGGGTGACCACGCCCACTAGTGATGTCCAAAGTATGCTGGGTTGAGGACATCACCCAGCAAAGCATCCCAAAATGTTGAAGGCATGTGGCCTGGTATGGTTTGTGGGGGGGCGCTCACTCGCTGGCTCGTCTTGTCCCCTTTCCTGACCCACCAGGCTGCATTTTCAGATATTGATTTTGGGGGGCACCCCATTTAAAAAAAAAAAATGTTGGTGTGGTGGTTCCCCTCAAAATGCATACCAGCCCTGAAGGGCTTGGTATGGATGGGGGGGGTTCTTATCTTTTAATTGCCAGCAATCCTTTTTTTTTCCATTCAACTGTCAGCAGGAAACCAGCTGACAACTGATAACAACAGTTGTTAAGGATGCGGGGACCATCTACTCCTTAACAACCATGACAGTTATTGGCTGTTAAGGGGTGCGGGCAGCTGCCTGCTCCTTATCAACCAGTACATACTGCATGCCTCGGACCACTACTTATTTACTGCATAAATTTAATTATTTATTTTCTTCTGTGAATTGACTTTAAGGTCTTTTTATGTGGTATTTACCAAGCGTTTTTGCGATTTGTGGTAAATACTGCATACTAGCAACAGTGAATTGACATTTTCAGTATCGCATGCGATATGTGGTCACCTAACCAACATAAACGCATGCGATAACCTTTAGCAAAATGTCCCCAGAATCCTGGAACAGGTACAGTCTATAGATGCAGCCTCTTGTAAAATAGTCCTGCATTCAAACCAAAGGGGCTCCAGGGACAATCATTTCCCCCCTTCCTTTCTGCTCATAGATCCATCTTCTCAGGCCTTCAGACTATTTATCTGCATCCCAGCCATCATCTGGGCACACCACCCCAGAGACTGGATAACCCCTGCTCAATATTCAGTCTGGTGATTTGAATTCTCCCACCCTAAGCTCCAGAAGCTGCTTCTGGAGACAATGGAAGCAATCGAATTCCCAGCCTGTGAAGTCCTGAACAGACCAAACCAAACAATTACTGCTCACCGGGTTACAGAAGGAGCCAAAAACTAAATTTACCTAGCAGCCTAACTAGGAGGGTGCTACATATTCATATCCAAAATGTACACAGTCTGCCTACTCAGTGGTGTATTTTGTTTTTGTGTTGCCTTATCTCACAGAATGACATCACGCCCGCCATCCCCCCGGACTCCTGCTGTTCCTCCATTCCAGCACTCTAGCTCACAGAATGACATGCACGTAAATCCCAGCTACCTGCTGTTTCTCTGCAACCCACTACAGCAACCTCTCGTGGATCCTAGCTCCTGCTTTTCCTCTGCCTCCACTGTTCCCCAGTCACTGGCTGCCACTGCATGATTTCTGCTGGGGGGCGCTGCTGCCCCCCTGAAAAATGCTGCCCTAGGCAAACGCCTTGTTTGCCTCGTGGCAAATCCGCCCCTGTGCCTACTGTCATAGTATGACTGGAATCATACAGTATATGTTATCCTAAAACCACCGTTTCATGCAATCAAAATCCAATCATAGCTCAACAAATTTCCAAGAGACATAGGAGTGCCTATTTTATGAAGAAAAAGGTATAGAAACATTTTGGAAAAAAAAAAAAGAATCACGTTGTACATATGTGTAGCTAGCTTTATATTGCTGTAACTGCATAAAAAATACATACCATATCTACTTGTTGTATGTGCTTGTATTCCACTTCATCTCTATATCCAGCTGTTTGGAATCTGTACAAATTCTCAATCTCATCTGACCACTGCTTTGCCCGAGACATTGATTTTGGTTTAATGGCACCAGGATCCTCTCCAGACATAGTTATGCTTTGAGTCACACAAAATTGATGTGTCTAGGAGACAAAGTATATCATTTATTTAATTGTAAGATATTCCCGTGTAAACCTTTCTCTATGACATACTTTTTATGCCGTCTTTGTTACTACAGTCCTGGTTAAGTTTCTCTATACTTATCACTGTATGTTTATTTTAAAGGTATTTTTGACAACGTCTTAGGTTACTTGGCTGCGTTTCGCAAAAGTTTATACAGTGCTGAAGTCTAGCAAGGACTGTGTGGAAAAGCAGCAGTTCAAGTGCACTTAAAGCATTTGCATCATCAGGCTAATGAATTGTTTAAATAAAACCTGATTTCTTTAAATACATACACTTTAGACCCAGTGATGTCATAAATGGGTCTCTGGGCTTTTCCATTTAATGCAGGTTGGTGGAAAGGGCTGCCAGGGAGCTATACATAGCCCTCTGAAAACATCATAGCACGCTGGCTCAGCACTCCTCAAAAGAGCCTTAGCCCAAATGCAAGCATTAGGCTGGCTCACAGGAAGAGTTATGTAAATATTAAAATGTTTTTTATTGATGGATATCAGTCTAGATAAGTGGGTGTCCCTAGGTGGGCTTATATTTTCATGCAGACTCCCCTTGGAAATGCCCACTTGTCATGATGCTGGATGTCCTCCAACCATGAAAGAAGGCAGTCTCTATTTGACTTGCTGCAGCTTGTAATACACACTGTGGGAAGCTCTTAGTGTGCAGAAGAATCAGAGTAGGCAATTGTGGGACTTTTCAGGGGCACTAAGAGAAACTGTAAATGCAGATACACGTATAATTAAGCAGAACTACAGACACCAATTTAGCAGTTTCCCAGAACAGTTACATTCAAGAAACTAGTGTGCTTACAGTGGGGCAAAAAAGTATTTAGTCAGCAACCAATTGTGCAAGTTCTCCCACTTAAAAAGATGAGAGAGGCCTGTAATTGGCATCATAGGTAGACCTCAACTATGAGAGACAAAATGAGAAAAAAAAATGCAGACAATCACATTGGCTGATTTGGAAAGAATTTATTTGCAAATTATGGTGGAAAATAAGTATTTGGTCACCTAAAAACAAGCAAGATTTCTGGCTCTCACAGACCTGTACCTTCTTCTTTAAGAGGCTCCTCTGTCCTGCACACATTACCTGTATCAATGGCACCTGTTTGAACTTGTTATCAGTATAAAAGACACCTGTCCACAACCTCAAACAGTCGCACTCCAAACTCCACTATGGTGAAGACCAAAGAGCTGTCGAAGGACACCAGAAACAAAATTGTAGGCCTGCACCAGGCTGGGAAGACTGAATCTGCAATAGGCAAGCAGCTTGGTGTGAACAAATCAACTGTGGGAGCAATAATTAGAAAATGGAAGACATACAAGACCACTGATAATCTCCCTCGACCTGGGGATCCACGCAAGATCTCACCCCGTGGGGTCAAAATGATCATAAAAACGGTGAGCAAAAATCCCAGGACCACACGGGGGGACCTAGTGAATGACCTGCAGAGAGCTGGGACCAACTTAACAAAGGCTACCATCAGTAACACACTACGCCGCCAGGGACTCAGATCCTGCAGTGCCAGACGTGTCCCCCTGCTTAAGCCAGTACATGTCCGGGCCCGTCTGAAGTTTCCTAGAGAGCATTTGGATGATCCAGAAGAGGATTGGGAGAATTTCATATGGTCAGATGAAACCAAAATAGAACTGTTTGGTAGAAACACAACTCGTCGTGTTTGGAGGAGAGAGAAATGCTGAGTTGCATCCAAAGAACACCATACCTACTGTGAAGCATGGGTGTGGCAACATCATGCTTTGGAGCTGTTTCTCCCGCAAAGGGACCAGGACAACTGATCCATGTACAGGACAGAATGAATGGGGCCATGTATCGTGAGATTTTGAGTGCAAACCTCCTTCCATCAGCAAGGGCATTGAAGATGAAACGTGGCTGGGTCTTCCAACATGACAATGTTCCCAAATATACCGCCCGGGCAACGAAGGAGTGGCTTCGTAAGAAGCATTTCAAGGTCCTGGAGTGGCCTAGCCAGTCTCCAGATCTCAACCCCATAGAAAACCTTTGGAGGGAGTTGAAAGTCCGTATTGCCCAGTGACAGCCCCAAAACATCACTGCTCTAGAGGAGATCTGCATGGAGGAATGGGCCAACATAACAGCAACAGTGTGTGCCAACCTGTGAAGACTTACAGGAAACGTTTGACCTCTGTCATTGCCAACAAAGGATATATAACAAAGTATTGAGATGAACTTTTGATATTGACCAAATACTTATTTTCCACCATAATTTGCAAATAAATTCTTTCCAAATCAGCCAATGTGATTGTGTGGATTTTTTTCTCATTTTGTCTCTCATAGTTGAGGTCTACCTATGATGCCAATTACAGGTCTCTCTCATCTTTTTAAGTGGGAGAACTTGCACAATTGGTGGCTGACTAAATACTTTTTTGCCCCACTGTATGTTAGCTCTCAACTGAACTGTCAAACCATCAAATGGCTGGCATCATAGATGATCACATATGCAGCACCATGGCAAATGAACATCAAATTTAAACTAAGATGGCAGCTTCCTTGGCTGTAATGGATAGGAGAGTCTGACTCCACTTTAGATTCTACCTATTCTATTCTAAAATATATAGAACACTAAAAATGCCAACTGAAGTATTAAACAAGCAGATCATTATAGGAAGCTTGTCATGAGAAAAATAGGAGGGTTGGCTTTGCTGACCTCTCTCTGAAAATGCTAGCTATCTGGCCATGTCTTGTTTCAGTTTTTCTAATTCCTTGCCTAGGAACAAGCATCCAAAAAATAGAGTGATAATGAAGGCAGAACTTCTGCTCAATGTACTTATGGTCAGTGAATCAGAGCACTGAAGGCAGAAGGCATGACACCGCGGGGCCTAATATATTGAAAATGAGATGAGCAGCCCATATTTTATCATGATAGGTTTGTTTTAAATGGCAAATTTTTAAGTGGATTTATAAATATTTTGCCACTGTTCCCTGCAACAGAATGAACAGTACCTAAGGTGAGGTTGCACTATTTTGCTGACATTGCCAGGGTATTTGTTAATGGATTGACTAAATTATAGCCTGTAAAGCTTTACTATGCTTTCACAACCCACCAGCTCCAAGACTGTACTATGGCCGTGAGCAAATATGGCAGTCGTTTTCAACATTACCCAGAGTAAATATGGTTGTATTTCTGTGCATGCTCAGTTTTCTAACAGTAATATTGCTCCTTCCAGAAGGCCAGTGCATCTTAATAAATATGAAAAAAAGTACAATGGGACCTTGTGCTAACACAATTTCAATAACTTCAATAAAAAGTGCAAAAAGCAATAGTGATGTTCAAAAATAGAAATAAGATATTTATTCAACTGTATTCAACCCAAAAGGCTTGTATGCAGCAAACAAAATCCATAACAGCAAAAGAAATCTCAAAACGCTTCTTGCAGGTTAACACAGTATTGATAGGGAAAGAGCCTGAACATGGCGGCACAGGAGAGTGTGGAGTAAGCACTCTCCGTTAGCTTTCCCCACCTATCCTCCCTAAAAAGTGTCTTGGATGATTCTAAATAGCTGTGCTGGAGGGCGGCAGGAGACTAATCTGTATGGAAGGGGGGTCCCGGCGGTGATGTGGTGGTTTGACCGGAGTGAGGCGACAAGGCTCCCGTCCCCCTGAGACTTGACAGTGGTAATGGCGGAGGAAGCGTAGGGTTGCCAGGTGACGAAGAGAGGCGGTGTGACCACGTGGGTTGCCGCGGGAGGAGTGCTGGGAGAAGGAAAAGCCGGCCGGCGTCCTAGGGAGCTGGTGAAACGCTGGCTTTCGTCCCTAATCTGTTCCCAGGGAACTCGGGGGTAAGAAAAAAAAAAAAAAGAAGAAAAAGGGGCCCAAAGGAATCCCCCTAAAGAGAGAAAGAGAGATATGGCCACAGGAGACCAGACAACAAAGGATTGCAAATGTGGAAGCTGCTCCATAGAGGAGGGTGAGTGAGAACTACTGGTCTTCTTATGTGCTGGTATTTCTGACTGTGTTATAATTTATTGAATGAGATACCCAGTTTAAAGAGGAAGAAAGGGATTCCTAGAGAGGGTCTGAAGGTGTGGAAGAAAGAAGGTTATTGCCTGGCCCTAGAAAAAGAAAGGAAAGTGAAAAAAAAAAGTCCCATAAGCGACATGAAAGGCAAAAACATTAAAGGGAGTGGGCCCAAGAATTCCCAAACTGGTACGATTAAGAAGTACATGTCACAGGGGAATTTGACTCCAGAAAGAGCTCAGGAAGTAAGTGAAAAGAATGAACTGGAAATAAGTATGGATAATAGCTCGAGATCGTCCCTGGGATCGGTTAATAATAGTCAACAAATAACGGAAGGAATGGAGCTGAGAGAAACTGAAAAAGAACTGCAAATACCAAATAAAAAGGAAATGGCGGAGATGTTTAAAAAAACTTGGAAAAATCAATAAAGCAAGAGATGGGGATAATTTGGAAAGAAATGGGGCAGTTTTTAACTAGAGTGGAAGAAACGAAAGAAAAAGTTAAAAATCATGCCCAAATCATTCCAAAATTAGAGAAATGGATAATAGATACCAGGAGAGAACAAAAAGACTGCTTTATATGATGGAGGATCAAGAAAATAGGGAAAGGAGAAATAACCTTAGAATAAGAGGAATCCCAGAGCTATTACAGGGCGAAGATTTAAAGGAGACAACATGTAAAATTTTGAACTCCATAATGGATAGATCTGTGGCGGAGACGTTTAAATTGGAAGGAGTGTATAGGACAGGGAAGTTTCAACAAGAAAAAGGCTCAGAAAAATCAAGAGATATAATTGTTCAATTCCATAATTATGGAGACAAAGAGGAGATATGGAAGAAGATTAAAGGAAGAACAAATATTAAGTATGGAGGAAAAAATATTAAAATTTTTGCAGATTTAGCA